ACTCAAGATGCCTTCAAAGTAGATACCAATGATGATCATAACCAATGTCCATCACATATGCGGACTGATATCTAAAAGTTTTTTTTATTTTTATTCTTTTCACATTTAGATATAAAAATTGAATAAAACGTCAACAATAAAAACAGCTAGCTAGTTTAACTGATTATCTTAAAAGTCCATAGATATCGCTATTATTTAATATGGCTGTTAACACGTTCTCCGACAAGCGCAAGCAATGAGACCTGTTTTCCGGGTTTGGTCAGGTGATGTTCGACATATATCCTATTGAATGTGAATGGACTCTCAAGTCGTTTTTACAAAGGGGAAGCTAGATAATTTTGATACCACTGATGGGCCCTAAGCTTAAAAGATGGGGGAGGACAGACTTATGGCTTTAGTTTTTTTTTAAAGTTATATTTTTGGCTTTTTATGCCTTTATTTTTGATAGGACAGTAGAGTTTGACAGGAAAGCATAGAGCAGAGAGAGGAGAGCTTCAAAGGACCTTGAGCCAGGAATCAAACTCAGGTCGCCGGAGGCACAGTTGTGCTACATGTCAGTGCAGGGGCGCTGCTATGGTTTCTGGGAACAGCATATTGACTCGGACCCCCAGCACTGCATTTCGGGGGGATGGGGGGGGTTGTCCCCCTCGATAGAGATCGCATTAGGGCCCCCTCGCCTTCGCCGGGCCCTTGGTGTCCTCCATGATTCATATTCCTTCCAACAACAAAGAACTTGAATGTGACAAACTTGTTATTACAGTTTCAAAAGTGGGAAGCAGGAAATTTCTGATAGCACATGAAAGCAGCATAAATACTAGCACTGAATATTTAGTTACATTTAAAACAATACTAGCGCTAATACATAACAGTAATATTACAGCTACGTAGGCATACTGGTAACACAAAATAAGATATTATTATGCATTAATTGTTAAAGCAGCTTGCCACATGTGCCAGCATTCTGTCCACAGCTGGACACAAATGCAAAGAGAAACAGTGATTGTGTTGGCTGGTGATTTATAGATAGTTTACTCAAGAGGCATTGAGATGAGAAACAGATCTTGTGTCTGGTTTCTATATTGCGTTCATGGAATATTACCTATAAAACATACACTGAAAGGTCACATAACTGTTGGTGTTAAGGGCACAAAATGTGAAAATCGACATCCTTCTGTGTGTGTGCTTGTAGTCTTGTCCTGCTTTCCTCCTCTTGGTCCGCACAGTACTGTGGAGTGTATGTCCTAGATTTAAGTGTGTGGGTGAGATTTAAAAAAAGCAAAGAAACAACAGTATGTTGCAGAGCCTATGTGTGTGTAGATCTGGTGCAGAATTGGAGGAGGTGAGGGGGCTGTTTTGCTACACCTTATCTGTAATCGAGCAGATCTACACAGATTAATGGTGTATTGTTATAGTATATGTAAAATAATCAGAATACCAATTAAATGATATTTAATCATTCGTCTTTGTCTTCTTTGTTTATGAAAAGAACATCAGATAAATAGCCCAACTAAGTACACGGATTCATTAGTTTTAGTGTACTGGTGCGCATAGAGAGAAGTTTACAGTGCTGCATAAACTTTGCGTCTGACATATTTTACACAAAGATGCACACACTCTGTAAACAGCTGTCTGACAGATCGGTATGCCTTATATGTCAGTTTCCAGCAGTAAAACAGAAGTCACATTTCTTCCCCTTCTCACCACAAACCCATGAAAAGAGTGTAAGTAGTACTCTGTAACATTTTAAAGAGAATTACACATTTAAGTGTACATTTATAAACACCACCAAATAAAAGGGAAGTGGAAATATGAAAAAAAAAAAAAAACAGTTTTTTGAGAGATGAGTTTATTTCCTGTGTTTTAATAGTAGATCAGGGCAGCTGGCAGGGGCGTCATGCACTCATTATTTTTGAGGGGGCACGAGTTGGGGGGGTCGTCATGTGACACACAGCAGCCACAACAGTACTTATGTTTTATTTATTTTTTCATTTTTATTGGAAACATCCCCAAACGCATTAACTATATCATGAAATATCTTGATTCTCACCTAGATTATGTTGATCTATAGTGGGCGATGGTCAAAGTAACCTAATCATGTAATCTATTAACTATGCATAAAAACCTGTCTGTTTACTTAATTAACAGATATGGATGTCATGCCATGAGATATTTTAATATGACTGAGTTTATATTTAATGTGAATTTAACATTGAAAGTTAATTTTAATAAAACATTGCAATTTAGGCTAATCATAACACTTTCATTGTACAGAAAGAGAGCAAAGAACATTTACATTATCAAAGAACATTTTCACTGACAGTCTAGTTCAAGCACTCTCAAAAACTCCCATTAAAATCACTGAAGCTGTTTACACTATGAAATAAATATCTTACAGATTCGTACACACATTTGCACTTTGTTGTTTCTGACGAGAATTAGCCAGAAAAAGGTATTCAGTCAGCGAGCCAGTGAAGAAAACACCGGCATTTTAACGATGACTCCTCTGAACACCTCTGATTGGTCATTGCATTCAGAAGCTCAACAGCATCGTGTGTGATTGGTTAATACACAGGGCTGTAAAAACGCGTCTGTCTATGGCTCAGCCAGCGAACGCAGATTTGAATTTAGCTGCTGATGAAATGAGGCACTGAAGTTATAATCACGTGTGATTGTATTAAATACAGAAAATATTAATCGGCTATTTTTTGTCTTTTGGAATCTGCATTCAAAATCCACTTGGCTCAAAAAGCTGAATGGATTTCACTTTGAATGGGCATGACGCCTCTGGCTGGCATGATTTAGAAAATGAGAGATTCCTTATATATTTATGTCCCTACGCAATGTTAGATGTTAGACTGGGTAATTTACCTCAGATAGATCAAGAAAATAATAGATAATGCTTTTATCTATTGTAGGAAAATGAGGGATATTTTCCTCCCCCTCTCTTGATCACTCTGCTGCAATGCAGAGGAACATAAGACACTTAAGACCCAAAAGTGTCACGACAATGTCACTGTGACACTGCCACAGAATCACACACACTCTCACACACATTTTCTCTCAATCTCTCTAGATCATCAGTGAAATTTTCTTGGTCTAGAAATATGAAAGAATAAAAACTTATACGTATTCTATATGTATCACCTTTGACCTTTACATGCATCTTAATGATGATCTTTCTTTAATTTATTATATGACCTAAAAAGATTAAACTGTTTATAATTTACAATTTTATTTATTGATAATTTATTTATCTACAAGAGCCATGCACAGTAATTACTATTCTCATGTAGGCAATTTCTGTGGTATAGGCCTAGGTCTCATGTGGAGTGGGTTGGCCTACAAGCAGCCTAATTAGAGATGTTTTGATTAACAATTATAAACTCAAACACACAGCTAATAATCATTAACTCAGTGCGGTCAAGTACTTTGAAGAAGCCTACTTAGGGCTGTGTGGAAGCACTCATGCACTCAAATTGGAGTATAGACAGTCTGTTACTAGAAAGGTAGGTTCCAAGCTTGAACCATCCAGCACTTTAACTGGCTTTTAATTCTCTCAGTTTCGTTTTCTTATATACATTTTAATACCAGTTTTTAAATGCAGAGCTGATTCAACGTGACTTTCAAGTTATGTAATCAAAAATGGACTCTATTTACATTCTTAATTGCCTGAAATCCAAAAAGTGCTGTCTTCATTACCTATTTTACTTTTGGCTTACGTCATTGAGCCCCTACAACTGACCGCATGTCATATATAGAATCCACACCCAACTGCTAGTGGTCCTTTCTGTTATTTTTATGGTATGAAAAAGGTATGAAATTTGTAAAAAAAAATATATATAAAATTCTCATTTCGTTTATATCTTTTCACCTTAAAAATCTGTCGCATTCACGAAGAATGAAATTGGTTGCGTATGATTTTGATGAATAAGGGATAACTACTGTTGTAAATCTGTGGTTAAAAACTAAAGCACAAACCTTGTTCAGAGAAGTGAAGTGTATAGTCGCGTCAACTACATACACCCCCGCAAGAGAACAATTCGTCCTCCTTTAATAAAGAATCTGCAAAACCAGCAACCTAGATAGCATCAGCTGCATGCTTCCAAAATGTCCAGCTACCTAACGTGCGGCTGCCATGTGATCAAAAACCTTGCCAACTGCTGGATTTATAGTTAAAAGTCGGTTTAAAAATGTCATATAATGCTGCGACATGTTATGATGTTTAGGAGTTTTTTAAACTTTGTTTTTTTTTGTTTCTGAATATGCAAATGTATGTTATCTAAGAAAGAACGATGATTAATTAATTGATAGAAGATGCATGTGGGTGTAGGCCTCTATTCCATATCGTCAGCTCAATTATGTACTTGATTACAGCCTAGCATTTGTTCAACATAAACCTTTTATATATATGTATATGTGTGTGTGTGTGTGTGTAGGTAGAGGAGATAAAATTTACAATTTAGACCATGATATCAGAGTGGCTGATAGAGAAAGAGAAAAAGCAAATGAAGAGAAAGGGATAGAGGGAGTTAAAATGATGAATGTGTCTCCTATTTGGGACAAGGTGTCCGTAACTTTCAGGTACTCCAGAAAACAATCTCTCATCCTTGCTCTCTCACTCTGTTCTGGGTCACTTCGTCTCCTGGGGACTTGGAAGCAGGGCAACGCCAGCCCTCCCTCCCCTTTTCTTCATATCCCTCACACACGGTCTCAATCTGTAATACACTCTTTAATTACTGAGTTGAAGATACTTAATCACAGAATCGCATCTCTAAAATTCACTCTCTGTGGACTCAACCTGGCTGTCGTTGAAAATATAACTTTAAAACATTGAGGGGTTCAGAAAAAGTTACAGAGCTAATTATAAACTATTGATTTATCCTAAAGTACTTCTACCTAAACCTAAGCTGCACTTGAAAGATTTGCATCATAAAATACATTTGAATGGAACAGAATTGAATTGAAATGAACCACATAGGAAACCATTATACATAGCGCTGACTACCATACAGTTAAGTTTTATTTCAACAGTGGTCAACCCCATAGGTATCCTATGCATAACCACATTAGAGAAGCAAGTTTTCACACACAAAGGAGGATAAAATAGGAAGTAGAGGCACTAGTGAGGTTTGGAAACCAAAGTGAACAATAACATTACACAAGTAAATTTTACTCAAATGATACAGTGACAATTAATACTTCAGACAAACTACTTATACATTCCTCATAAATATACATTAAGCTCTCATATTGTAATTATAACATGGAAAGGGAACAGATTGGCAGTTTGCACATAAGGTAAGTAAATTAAACATTACATCATCATCAAGTGCAACGAGAATACCAGCTCAGTTGCTAAATACTAACTATCAATCCAAAGTTACTCTTTCTAGTTTTAGTAGAAGTCACTGTCCAAATGACAGATGGCAGTATACAAGGAAATATAATCCAGATATGAGAGGACATCAAGAAAATGCCACCAAATGAACATAATGGGCTCAAATTCACACCAGTTCCCATAACTAGAAATTGTCCTAATAAAATATAGTGCACTGGGGTATTGCATAATATATATCACATTATATAATGGTTAAGTTAAGTAACATCTCACTGGTTCTAAAATGTTCTTATCTAAATGACAGCTGGAAGTGCTACAGTGTGCCTTTATAGTGTGTCCACACACAGCTAAACGAGGTCTTTGGAAGAAGTATTTGGCACAAAATAAATGTCTGAGTGTGAGCATTTTGTTCCCTTGGTGTTCCAAAAATATGTCTGTTGCGTCACGTTAGCGTAGGAATGGTTGATTACAGTCCCAGTTACACTGGGTAGTGATTTTTGAATGTGACGTGAAAATGCATCGCTCTCGAATGATCAATAACAGATTTAATTGCTCATGTGAGAAGACAAAAGCAGGACGGCAGATGCTACAGGACTGTAGCCTCTTCCATGGCACTGACCCATCTGGAATAGAGCAGAATTTTCGCATTATGCAATAGCAGAAAATAATATATATTTGTGTTAATGTGTTATATATAACATTTTAATGTTTTTGAAAAAAGTATTTAATGCTAAAAACAGGTGTATTTATTTGAGAAAAATAAAGTAAAAACAGTAATATTTTAAAATATTTTTACAAACTTTACATTTTATTAAATATATTTTAAAATGTCATTTATTCCTGTGATTTCAATTTCAATTGAATTTTCATCAGTCAATACTCCAGTGGTTAATGACGCATGATCCTTCAGAAATCATTTTAATATACTGATTTGGTGCTTGAGAAACCTTACTTATTATTATCAACAGTTGTGCTGCTTAATATTTATGAAATGGTGATACATTTTTTTTCAGGTTGCTTTGATAAATATCAAGTTCAAAAGAACAGCATGTATTTGAAATCTTATGTAACAATATAAACATCTTTACTGTCTGATCTATTTAATGAATCCTCCTTGCTGAATAAAAGTAATAATTTATTTAAAATATATATAAAACTTACTTGTCCCAATGCTATATGTACACATTATAAATTGCTGTATTGTGTGAATGTAATCTGTATTTTAACCTCAGTGCAGTGTGACTGTCCTGGGCTCTGAAAGTGTAGAAGAGAGTGCTTTTGTGGTACAGCTGAAACATGCTGCTCTCCCCTTCAACCTCTGACCTCACAGAGAAACCCAAGAGAGGAAGGGTCTCGTATGCAACCCTCTCCTTATATAAAACAAAAGGACACAGAGAGATTAGGAGCTGCATGTTGCAAGTTAATGTGTGCAAAAACGTGACTGTGTGCATTACCTCAGTCTGTGGGTATGCGTAGAGAACTTTATCTTTCAGGAGGAACCACAGGCTTCTCCAACTTCTCTTGCTGTTCCTGCACCTCTGCAGGGTTCCACTCATCACTCCATCGGACACTGTCTCCTAGGCAACAACACATGATGTTTCACCCCAAATCCAAACGAAAAAATAAAACATTAAATTAATAAAAATTGGAAGGGATGTAATTGTAATTTAAAATAATGCAGTGCTGAACATTTTAATCGTCTTAAAATAAGACTTTTAATAGCAACACTTAATAAAACTTGATTTGTGTTATAATCAAACAATTCAGTGTGAGATCAGAGTAAATCATGATCCACTGGACTGATATTTAGTCCAAAGATATTAATCTAGAGGTTACCTGATTGAAAGACAGTTGGCCTTTGCGGCTTTTCCATAGACTCGATGGATGAATGTTTTGGAAGACAGAAGAGAGAGGTCGACTGGAGCTCTCTGTTATTGTGGCAACATCTCTCAAACAAATGCACACACAATTATGATGAGAGTCACGCATAACTATCTTTAATTAAAACTAATATAATGAAAGATATTGTGGTTGTACCATGCTTACGCAGCTCAGTGTAACAATGATCACACACTTTGGCACGTCTGTTCTTCATATATTTGAGGGGGAATTTGTTCCTGCAACAATCTCTGCAGAAAATCTATAAACAATATAAGATGAGAAAATCACAATAAATAGAGCTTATGAGTGGCTCTCGATGCAAAATGAAAATTTGCTGAGAAGTTATTAACCCTCAGGTCATCCAAGACATAGAGGAGTTTGTTTGTCATCTGAACAGATTTGGAGAAATTTAGCATTACATTACTTGCTCACCAATACATCCTCTGCAGTATATGGGTGCCGTCAGAATGAGCAGATAAAACATCACAATAAAACACAAGTAATCCCCACAACTCCAGTCCACCAATTACCGACTTGCTGTGTGCTTGTAATAAATACATTATTAGGAGGTTTTTTACTTTAAACTGTTGAGCTCTTTCCAAATGATTGCTTTCTCCAGTGAAAAAGTTGTCTCATCTGAATCAGGAGAGAAATATGCACAGATCAAGCACCGGTTACAAGTGCTTGGATTATGCATGTTTTGTCCAGAAGTGACGGTTTGAAGGTAAAAACATCATAATGATGAACTTGTTTATTACAAACATGCTGCTTTTATCAGCTGTTTGGGCTCTCATTCACTGCAGAGGATTCACTGGTGAGCAAGTGATGTAATGCTAAATTTCTCTAAATCTGTTCCAATGAAGTGACAGACTCATCTACAGCTTGGATAGCCTGAGGGTAAGTACGTTTTCATCAAATTAAAATTTTTAGGTGAACTATTCCTTTCAATGTATTTGTACCTTGCCGCAGGCATGGCAGTGATGTCGTCTGTTTGTGAGGCTGAAATGTGAGTGACAGTTCATGCAAACTGTCACCTGGGAAACAGACAGCAGAGGAGGAGCGTTCTCGCCGAGACACATCTCTGGCCCATCCACTAACTAAAACACAAGACACATATAATTTCACAACAGGAAACAAAATGTCAACTCTTTCAGGTGTTGACATTTTAATCACACTTTATTTAAAGCTTCCTCACCCCAAAACAGTTTACTGGGTCTCCTGATACGGGGCCGAGATTCACTAATGTCCGACTCAGTGTAGCAAACCAGCCGTCTCGTTCAGTGCAGGAGCTGCATACATGTACACAAGCATAAGTCACACTGCACACACATACACTACATATGTATGTGTGATTGTTTGAGTTTGTGTATGTCACTTGCTTGGCAGACAAAGTGATGCTTATATCTTTCACGTCTATCTTCAATGCACTCTGAGCATTCTCTATTGGTGGCTTGCTGACCTGAAAGACAAAAAAAGTGTCTGGGGTTCATACAATTAAATGAGGCACTTAAGGTTCTACAAGAAGAGAGGCGAAAATGAATAAATGATGTTCATGTATTTATTTTGTCTATTTATAATTTTTTTACATTTTCATACATATAATAAATGCAAACTAGAATAAGATGAAGATCTGACATATTTTACATATTTTATTTTCTTATTATTTTATTCCTTTTTGTATTATACATTTTTCCTTTCTTTTTTCTTTTAGTTCTGTTTTCTCATTTCATTTTATTTTATGCATTTTAATTTCTTATTCTGTTACATGTTAGTTTTTACTATTTATATGACATTTACAGGTTTTCGATAAAGCACTTTGTAAAGACATTTTTTTAAAGGCTATAAATAATGCTATACATAGATACAACCCGTGTTATTTTAGGATTATTCATATATTATAAGACTATTTCTTAATATTTTTAATACAGTTTTAATTTAATATTTTCAGTTTTCATTTCATTTTAGTAAATTTGTTAAATGCTTTTGTCTTTTTTGCTTTATCTTTATTTCAGTTTTAATTTAATAATTTTGGTGCTTATTTTGGATGGTTTTTAATAGTTTTAGTTAAAAATAACAACACTGCTTATAATTAGTGTCTTGAGCACTAAATACACATTAGTGTAAAGTGCATTAGTGTTCTCCCTATTGAGAAAAGATGCTTTCCAAGAACTATTATACATGAATCAACACTATAAGTGTCCGTGAATGTTGTCAGTTTTACCTCCATCCCTGCCAATGGTAATCTGTTGATGAGTCTGTATTTGCCATCTTGCTGAGGATATGTGTACAGCATTATGTCATTCATCTGAAAATGTAAAAAGTAAAAAATTGTTTTTTTATAACATTCACAACATATGAGCACAAATAACTACTTTGATATTTGCATACCACAACAGTTAATCTGAGTGGGTCACTGTAACAGATGTTCACCACAAGGTGGCGCTATGAGGTTGCTTTGCTGCGTCACTGCTCTGTCCATCAGTGACAACAGGCAATGATTGTATTACGGCAGGTTGTTACAGCAAGGCATGATAACATAGTGATTTGGAACAAACTCAAATGTGCATTTAAGCTGAGATTTATCAAAGAGAATACTAATTCGCTAAGACACTCATTTCTCTGTGAAATAGAATTATTAGTCATCAATTAGCCATTTTTATTTGTTCAGACAACTGCCAAATCATGTGCACATTATTCTGGGTTATCATAGGCAGTTAAGAATAAATCTATACAGCTAAACACAACCAAAATACATCGCTGTAGACAGGATGTTGTGCAAACACTGGATTTAGAAGTGCTTTCCTACCATCAGATACTGCCTGATAAGTGATAAGGCAACCTATTTTGTTTTCTGAAATGTTAATCAGTGGTGCAAATGAAATGTCACAGACTGTCTCCTGCATCAAGCAATAAAATATGAGGGATATTCAAGTTCAGCACTCTGGGGGCCACATGCCCGTCTCAGCGCACAACTGTAAGTCTGACTGAAAAGTCTACAGTATCCAGTATTTCTGACAGCCCATCTCACGTTCATCCTGTCACCCTCTGTTCTGTTGTCTCAACACATTGCTTGGCCCTGTTCCCACAGACTTATTCTGGGGTGAGAACAGCACCGTAATAACAATAGCACATGTAGACATAAACACACACAGAACAACATCCTGCCAGGAAACTCTAAAAACAAGTAAAATAACTCACAAACACAAAGGAGAGACAATAGAGACTATACAGAAAGAAAGCAACTTTGGCAATCTCATCTCAGCTACTAAAAGTCATATATACTCTAACGTCTTTCTTCCCAAAAAAATCTTGTATCTTTGATAATTAAGTTGCAAAATTAATGTAAATAAAATAAAATCACATACCAAGAAAAGGTGACGTGGCTGCTTGCACTTTCTGCTGACCTTCATCAAAGTGCCCTCTTTCACAAACACCTAGAGCAAAGATAGAGATAGAGATTAAGACAACCTTACTCATCATTACAGCTTTAAAACCACCCAAAATTCTGAAAAATTCATAAAATTTGATTGGATGAATGGTATGTGATCAGGGAGTCATTGAATTTCTTACTCTCCCAGGTTGTAAGAGATCTGTCAGACCCAGAACACTGTGTTCAATATGGACCAAACGCAGGAGATCCGCCTGAGAAAGAGAAAAATAATGCAAAAATGCCCTTACATGGCACAGCAGTGTCATTTACACAAACTGCTTTGGTTCCACACACACACAGACTATCTATAAGCACATTAGGCCAAAAAACACATACTTACTCCATTCTTAAGGTTGTCATTAACATGATGAGCAATATCTGAGACCACAACCAAAGCATCTGAGGGGAAAGAGAGTTATAGGTAGAGAGAGACAGATTAATATTTTATACATGTACATTTTCAACATACATAAAAATACACACAAACATATCAAAAATATAACATATGTATATTAAATAATTATTGAATATATTAAATATTTCCTTAGAAATAGGCCATCTCAATAAATTATTAAAAACTAAATAAATAATAATGGCACAATAATAAGAACATATATAAAATTAATGAATTAAAATAGATAAAATAAAAAATATAAATACATTTATATTGTCAACTTCCTCCCTTACAAACAGATACTCTCTTAGAGCAGCACCTCATAAATAAATGACCCTCATATATAAATGATGCAGAAAGGCTTGTTTAAAAAGATTATTGAAAATCCATGATGGGGTCAAAGGTCATTTGCCTTTTGTGAAACTATCTAGAGGATCAGAGATATGTTGTTGTTTAAGCAAATCAATTATACACACACTGAGAGATAAAACCAAAGGACTCTTTGTAATTGCAAACATGTCAAGATAAGAATCAAACATTAGTTTCTTAAAATTGATGAAGCCTACATTAGGAAACAAAATGGCTCTCTCATTTACTGTAATCCAAGAGACACAGATAAAAACAAGATAAGAAAAAAGTATACTGCTGCTGCTGTTAAGATACTGTTGTCTGTGAGTAATGCTGAGACGTACTTTGCGTATTTTCAAACTCTCTGGAGTTTGGTGAGAAGTTGTTCAGGTAGTCTGTTGGGGAAAAAAACCCCAACAAAAATAAAGCAATATTAAGCAATACTACAGGTCTTGGTATAAAAACGCCTACATTAGGAAACAAAATGGCTCTCTCATTACTGTAATCCAAGAGACACAGATAAAAACAAGATAAGAAAAAAGTATACTGCTGCTGCTGTTAAGATACTGTTGTCTGTGAGTAATGCTGAGACGTACTTTGCGTATTTTCAAACTCTCTGGAGTTTGGTGAGAAGTTGTTCAGGTAGTCTGTTGGGGAAAAAACCCCCAACAAAAATAAAGCAATATTAAGCAATACTACAGGTCTTGGTATAAAAATTCAAGGAAAAATAAATATGCATTAAAAAAAATATATTTAAATTGATAAGAATTAATAAGGATATAAAGTTATTAGTTAAAAAGTATTTAGTAGTCACCTGTTAGCAGCATACGGTATTGTAGGATGCGCACAATGACCTGCAGCAACTGCTTTTTCAGGGTCCCTGCATCTGGTAGCTGAGATATAAAACACACGCTACAGTACATAGATATATATTTAAATACAGGCCATCTAAGTAAATGAACACACACAACTCAAACACTTTTACGTGTAATAATACAATACAAAAAACACACTCAAATCACACAGTACAGTCTGAACACATGTACTAAATGAGAGTGGCAGGTTGATGGATATGCCTAATAATAAGAAAAGATTTGGTTCAGTTAAAGTTGTCAATCAATGAAAACAAAAACATCATATATCCCTTACTGTGCCTTGTATGTGTTCCAGATAGTTCAATTTTTCATCATAATGACTGATGTAAGAAGAGAAAATGGAAAACTCTGTCTTCTTTGCCAGGATGATTTCAGCAATACCTTCATTCTGATCCCTGATGTGTGGAGTGAAATGCATAAAACAGATGACATGATGACAGATGGACATTATTTGAGGATGATAAACAATTGAGGGTAGCATATGCACATGCATGTGTGTGGGTAAGAGTGTCTTACCATTCTTTTAAGCGAGTCTCCAGTAATGTGTGGATATTTTGGTGGAGAGTATAAATATCAGGTACCTCTGTCCACACTGTCATCAGCCTCTCATCCGCTTCAACTGACTATTGTGTGAAAGTGAGGGAAAAAAATAGAGATCATCTTCATCGCTATTTTTCTGACTTCACACAACTCTTTTTCTACTAAAATCCACACACAATGTCAGTGAGAAATATGAATGATCCACCTCATTGAGAAGTTGTAAAGTCTTGACATGCCTTAAAATGAAGAAAAAGAAGCATAGTCATAATAATATAGTTATTTCTATTCAATTCAGACATTTTTCAAACAAATTTGCACCCACTAAATGGTTATCATTTTATCAGTAATTAAATTAATTTCTGCCAATCAGCTCATAGGCTTCAGCTGTTGTTTTCATGACTTACTGGGCCTCACTGTCCAGAAGCTCTTTGGCACTATAGAAAGCCCTGGAACAGTTGACATTCTGAAATAAAATGGCAACTGACTTACAATAAATTAAAACAAATCAATGCAGGACACATAGAAACACTCATAATAAGCTTACCAGTTTGTCAGATGCCTTTGTCTTTTTCTCCTGTGTACAAGTCACACCCACAGACACACCCATTGTTCCATCTTGTCTCACATTAGGAGAACAGAAAGTGTAGAGACTAAATAACAGAAAAAGTAGAATCATGACACAATCACAAAAAAAATAACCTTTTCGTTATCAGGAATGCAATACTTTGAGCTTTTAAGGACTAACATACAGATTAAGAGGGTTTTTTTTAATAAAAAAAAATAGTTTGCCTGTTATTAGATCTAACCAAAAGATCTAACATGCGTTTCATATGCCTGATATTTACCTAAGAATCGCCCAACAAGCTTTCAATATGTTAAATAACACATTTGCTTATGATTCCAACTTTTTATGCTGTTTATAGTGTGTCTAGTTTCTCTAAACTGAAACATATCGAAGAAGAAAAAAACATTTACTTTCCACAATGGTATTGAAATTAATCCTGAGCTTCATGTTAATAATATAAACATAATAAAACAATATATCAATATGAAGAGTTCCAATGCAAAAGCCTCTAAAGGCCATCTTGGTCTAAAATGAGATAACGATACTGAGTGAATGCTCTCCACACATAGTATATGTTCATCAAGTACTTTCACTTCAAATGCACTTAATACCAGCCTCAACCCATTCAGAAGTACCAGTACTTACATAAAAACCTATACATAGTAGCCAGAAAGAAATGCTAAATTTAAAGAAAATCGTCAGACGTACTTAGAGGCTTTTGCATCTGAACTGTTCATATATAAACAATTGTACCTATCTGTCTCTTGCTCAGATGGCCGACTTTTGCCCTGGAAGCCCGGCAGACTGCTCATGTCCACATAACCATCAGTATCACTGGGTGAACTCTGATTTCGTTGACTCTGAATGACTGGATTCAGGAGGCGAATCTGCACATTCTCATAGTGAGAAGCAGCATTTTGAACGTTCTCGTAATCTGAAGAGTCTGTATTGGGAGATGAGAAAGATCGAGGTTTGGAAAGGGGATGGGGTTCAAAGAGAGACCCTAGCTCCATAGAAATGGTGCTTGAAGCCAAATCATTATTAAGAGTGAAGTTTAGTCCCTGTTTTTGTCTATTCTTTTGAAAGACAAAGGAAGAAGGGGACATAGGTGGTGTGCAATCTGGAGTGCTCTGCAACTCCGGGCTGCCCATGTTATGCCTGATAAAATCCAAGCGTTTGCATGACCCTTGCGGACTTGACTCAGACGAGGATCTGGAGGATACGGAGCGATTATCCATAATGCTTTTACGATCTGATTTCCTAAGGAATCGTAATGGCAGAAGGTATCGCTTGAACCCAAAATCAGGCTTCTTGCAAGAAGCAGAGACTTCGTTCGGGAGGGATGGAGAACTTTTTCTGATTGGTCGCTTTGTGATGGATGCCAGTTCAAAAGGGGGTGGTATATCAACTCGAGTGACTTTAGCTAAGTTTGAGGTGCCTTGTGAAAGACATCCTAATGAGCCTGTCAGTGCAGGTCTACTATCTCCGAGGAAACACTGGTCTGTAAAGAAGGAGCTTGGGTGTAGCAGAAGCCGCCTATTTCCTGTTGCAGGGCTGCTCATTAGGTCAACTCTCTTACTGGGGGTTTCCACAGATATAGAGCGAGTCATAAAGTACTTCCTGTTCTGAAGGAAGTCTTTGGCTTGGATTTTTGGCTCTGTTTCTTCGTACACATGATCTACTGTGAGTTCTTTTCCCTCAGATCTACTCAAGTGGTCAACCCCTTCTTCTTCCCCAATGTTCTCTTCTTCTCGATTTTGTTGTAAACTTTGGCCTTGGCTTTCAGATTGCTGTTGAATGAGTGAGAAAGCATTGATGGCATTAAGATTTAAGGTGGCAGGTATCGCTTCATCGTGTTTAACCACATATTTGCTACAGTAGTTGTGATTTGTATCTGCTATATCATCATCTGAGACCATTGCAGAGCCAGAAAATGGCTGAGAAGAAGAAGAATTTGAAAAAGAATTCAGATCGGACTCAAGGAGAGTTTCACCTCCACTGTTTGATGAAGGACAGTCTGGAGAGTCAATAGCAGCTGAAGGATCCTGAGATGGACTGTCGTCTGATAAATAACGGTTTCCTTTTTCTTCCATTTGCTCTTTTTCTAACTGTATTTCATCATCCTCTTCCTCAATGGAAGTTGAAGACAAATCAGAGCCGTTTAATCCCTCCTCCAAAGTAAGCATCATAATATCTCCATTGGCGTTGTCCTCTGCTTCTGTTATTTGGAGAGGTTCTGTTTGTTCAAAAAGGTCACACTCGGAAAGTCCATCTTTGTCTGCTAACGCCTCACCTGCATCACAAATATCGGGGAACATCCCATCTATGTCTTCTTCACTTGAAAACATTCTGCCTGGGACTATGCCATTTGGGTAAAATGCTTCAATGAAAGTTTTATTGATGCAAATTTCATCATACTGGAATCTGTCTGTGTGTGCAATGCATCCATAAACTGCATTAGAAGCCGACTGAACATCACTAGAGCTTTTATGTGATGTTGATACACCATTTTTAGTCAGTCTCCATGCTATCTTCCCAGTGTCCTCTACTTCAATCTGATCGTTCTCTATATAATCATCCACGTCTCTCTTACTGCATGAATCAGAGAGAAGGTCCATCAACTCTTCCTCATCCTCTGACTTAAATGTTTCACCTTCTTCTAAACCCTCCACCAAATCTAAATCAATTCCCTGTGCTAACTCATCCCCACATCCTAACTCATCTCCCTGTTCCACAATAACATCTGGTTCTGTCTCTTCTGCTTGCATTGTCTTTTCTGTGTGTATTATTTTCTCCGTCTTCCTCTCTTGTGACCCCTCCTGTTCCAGAACAATTTTTCCATGCATTTCCGTCATAAGCTCTCTTGAGTATGGAGGCTTTCGGCTTTTGTTAGTGTGAAGCATATTGAAGTACATGTTTGAACTGAGATGATGCTTTAGATATTTTCTTGGTTTGGATGCAATTTTTGGTTTGGGTTCTTGATTATCATAAAATTATTCAGAAATAGGTGGTTGACATTGTCCCTTTAAGAGAGGCTCAGCCTGGAAGTGTCCTCTGGGGCCCAGGAAATGCTCCTGAAACCCAATAAGAAAACATTAATATTTACAAAAATAGTTTTTGCTGGAGAGTAGCATTGTGAACATTGTAGCAATTCGGGGCATCAAAAATAGTTCCATCCTCACTGTAAAAATGATTATTTCCTTGAAGATTGCTGGAAAATGTAAATACTATTTCTGTTTCCGCATTTCAAAATTTTGTGTATTATTCAATGTAATTGTTTGTGAAATTTATTGCAATTTCTGAATGAAAATTGTTTTTCAGGGTGATTTATGAGTTAAGATTTTCTGTTACAGTTGAATGAAACAGACTGCAGCTATGCACAAAATATAGAACATAAAAAAATACAATAGAAATTTACAATAAAAATACACGCACAATTCTATAAACATATTTTGAATTTTCAGTAACTTGACAGATTTAAACGTTTTGCTTTTTCTAAGGTCACAGTAAACACTTATGATTTTACACTTTTTAACTGCATATTCAATATTTATATGTACTTTTTGCCTTTTAAACATATATTTTATAATTTTACCTTTGTAACAGACCTAAACTTTAAATGCTAAACTAAATCCATCAGAAAAATTATGATCTACACAAAGTGAAATACACCATTTAAATAGGCTACTGTATGTATTGTATGTTTACAATACATATTGTAATTGTCACTACAGGATGTTTCAAACACAGCTTATTATGGTGGAAATTGTATTGTTAATGTCTTCAATAAAATATTACGTATAAACTATTACGCCCACAGCCAGGGCCAAAAGTGCCCATATAGCTTAAGATAGGCTATTATCATAAGAAAAATATTAATATGTTACGCTCAAAACAGTGCTGGCATTTTGGTTAAGCAAATAACACATAATATGTTCTACATGAGTCGCAAACAGAATTTTTACAAATATTTAAATAATCTAATCACATTACAATAACAAAGTGGAATTCTCGAAGAAAAAAAAAACTAAACTAAATGCACAATAAAATATCGAAAAGTACTATTTCACATACTTTCAGACATTTAAAATTCCCACAGACACTTATTTCTCTTTTCCCAAATAAATTGATAATACTTGTTACCACATTATCACGTTAAAAACTCACCTGCGCTCATCATCTGGTATCTGAGACACGGCAATGACAGGTCAAATTCATTTGAGCACGATGAAATCGTAATAACATGAGATTATATATCAACTACTGCATTTTCCTACTTCATCTTGCGATATAACTGCAGTACAGGAGAGCAGGCGCTCAGCACGAGGACGAGCGCGCGCAAACACACACACACACACACACAGTTTTTGCTTTGACTTCCTGAGGAAAAGGGCGTCAGGACAAAAAGCAAAAACAATTTTTTTTAATTATTGATATATATAGAGTAGGCCTATATGTATAAATTTGGCCACGTTCAGGAGCACACCGATCTAACACGCAGATTTGACAGATTTTTCCTAGCCTGTATCTCACACAATATATAATAAATATAATACATATTTAAAATAAATATTAAAAATAGAAACTGGACTTTGGTCAAAGCTATTTGAGGGAGTATGGCCTTCAGAAGTTTGCTTTACAGGAAATAGCTCTCTTATCCTGCATAACCTTCCTCAACAACAGACATCCAAAGAGCAGAATATTCTATGTTCTATAATATTTCATTTTCTATGAACTTGTCCCTAGCAACAATTTAAAAAAGTCATACTAAGCATAACTAATCCGTAATGCACTGATACACACACAGCTATCCTTGTGGGGACTCTCCATAGGTGTAATGGTTTTTATACTGTACAAACTGTATTTTCTATTGCCCTACACAAACCCTACACCTAAACCTATGAGTTCCTGTGAGGGAACTTTCTGCAATTTTAGATTGTTTTAGATTAACTTCATTCTGTATGATTTATAAGCTTTTGTACCCGTGGGGACCACAATTTAGGTCCCCACCATGACATGAGTCCCCATGAGTCTGTGTGTATTCAGGTTTAAGTCCCCACCAGAATAGAAAAACAGGTACACACACACACACAAGAGCATTAATGTGATTTTGACATTCAGATTAGATCACTGAAGTGATCTATCTTTTAATGTAAGTCTCTCATACTAATGTCAAGATCATGGGTTAAAACCATAGTTCAGATGTCAGTGTCTGTTTGTAAATGCAAAAAAATGGCTAAGTAAAGCAAAGCTATTGTAGCATTGACCAAAGGTCTAGCATCATTTGTGTATTTTCTATTGCCCTACACAAACCCTACACCTAAACCTATGAGTTCCTGTGAGGGAACTTTCTGCAATTTTAGATTGTTTTAGATTAACTTCATTCTGTATGATTTATAAGCTTTTGTACCCGTGGGGACCACAATTTAGGTCCCCACCATGACATGAGTCCCCATGAGTCTGTGTGTATTCAGGTTTAAGTCCCCACCAGAATAGAAAAACAGGTACACACACACACACACACACACAAGAGCATTAATGTGTGTTTGACATTCAGATTAGATCACTGAAGTGATCTATCTTTTAATGTAAGTCTCTCATACTAATGTCAAGATCATGGGTTAAAACCATAGTTCAGATGTCAGTGTCTGTTTGTAAATGCAAAAAAATGGCTAAGTAAAGCAAAGCTATTGTAGCATTGACCAAAGGTCTAGCATCATTTGTTTGTTGATGTCAACTTCAACTGCAACTTGTGAAGTGACCAATGAGTGGCTCCAGGAGTAAAATCTGCAACTGTTATTTTTACATTTATGATTAATAGTAGGAAGCCATTTCTATAGGCTTAAATAAGGCCATGACCTTTTCCCAACAGCTCTACAGAAATATGCTTCCTTCCTCAAATGTCTTTAGCTTAGTCTGGGTTAGTATGAACATTCAATTCTCCAGGAGAAAAGTACAATGAAAGAGGTAAACAACCTACTTCAAAAATAAGACTTTAACATAACTTTAACTTAATACTTATTTTATTGGATGTAATGTTATTTGCTATAGATCGTAAACAGGTGTCCATCTTGTTTCTAAAATGACTGATTTTTTTAGTAATATCCTGGGTACTGAGTGCAGAAACGTGTGTATTTAGATGGGAATATTATGAGAAGTCATTCTGTATTAGACTGTTTATCTGTTTGCATCTTTATTGCAGCGTGAATGGGATTCAGAAATGTTTTCCTTTTTATTTCTTCCAGATTTGAGCAAATCAGTCACAACCTTGTGATGAACTAGAATAAAAAAAAGAAAGTGTACACAATACACTGGATCACATAATACATAGTGTCTCCATAGTGTCAAATTTCCTTTCATTTCTTCTCAAATATAATATTCAGATCTCCAGGATGCTGCTTTTGGATATGCAATGGCTACTGAACAAAGGTGGAAAAGATTAATCATATCCTCTTCTCCTCTACACTCACTACCTACATAAATAAACATGAATATTTTCTTATCCTTGATTCAAATTCACCACACTTAGGCTCAGCACCCTGAAAGTGTTGTAGTTAGTCATAACCTGAATGTGTAATTCTGGTTCCTTCATTCGCAGTCCAAAAAAAACAAGCAAACAAGGGAGGTGGTTTATCTCACTGGCACACAGAGGATCTGCAGTGTCTGACTCACCCAGGTTTGTAGTCATCAGGCTAAAAGTAAGCAGTCAGTAAACCTGCTGTAGACAAATGTTAAGTACAGACACATACACACTAAGTGGAGACAAACACACTGACACAAAATCACTGTTCATCGTTTGAACAAAGAAAGGAAAAACACCCTGAACACTCCACCCTTTCCAGTTCAAGCAGGAAATGCGGAGCATGATAAAGTAGCTTGAACATTTATCAAGGATTCTGTTATCTGAGCTTCCGTCCTTTTGATCATACATCAGTGTGTGTGTGTGTGTTCAGTTTTCACTGCAAATACAATTGTGTTTACCAGTCAATGATGTGTTGAAGCAGGATTTCATATTATATTTTAGCTAATGCATCAGCTCTGACTGGAGAACTCATAGCAGCAATGAAACACATTTCTAAGCAACTTACTTTTGCTCAATATTGTGAGGCGTTTCTAAACAGTCCAACCAGTAAGAAGAGTTGAGGAACTGACAAGGAAATATCAACTGTAAACAGATAAGGAAGGGAATTTTAACATTTATGGTTCATAATTTCTGAAAAAGAATTAGTGTCTTAACATATAGTTATTTGCAGTAGGTAAAGCTCTGTGTTAAAATCCATATCAATTTCTATGAACTGTAACATTGATTGAAAAGTGGGATATAAGCTTTATTAACTTGTGTTGGTGACTCGCCGAAGCTTGCTATCTTTGGAAATGAATGTTCTTAAAATTATTCAATTAAAAACAAACATCACTTAAGATTAAAACGGCATTCTCTATAGAATAATATGACAATTATGCAGAGATTGTGTTTAAATTGAAGTTTTATTTAATAAACATAGCAGCAAGATAAATATGCAAAGCACTTTAAAAGCTATTTAAATGTAATTAATAAATATATTAACTCAATGTGGTCAAGATACACAAACCCTTGACATTAAAGCATGTTGAAAAGATCACCGAGGAGGATCGTTTCATCATCATCATCCTCAGGCCCAAAAATAAAACTCCATCCTTCATAACCAGGTTGTTCGCCCATAAAGAATTCATCATCCATCCGCAGTGAATGAAGCAGCTCCTCTAAACTAAAATGCTGGAAACCCCTTTTACTATGAAATGTCCCTTTATCGACAAAGGGATTGCGGTCCATATCTTCTTTCTTGAACTTTCCCTCCCTGGCCTGATCAGGGTTAGTTAAGTGGTCCATTTGATCATAGACTCGTCTCTTCTCTCTGTCAGATAGTACCTCATAAGCTGGAGGAAAAATTGAACCAAATCAATCATGAAATACTTCAGTAATATAGCAAATATTTTTTTTATACTTTTACATCCAAACACACACCTTGAGCAATGTGTGTGAAGATCTGCTGTGCATTAGGACTTTGGTTTTTATCAGGATGGTGTTTAAGGGCCAGCCTGTGAAATGCTTTCTTGATCTCTCTTGAAGATGCTGAGCAAGAAACTCCAAGCAGTGAGTAATAGTCACTCAAACAAGTACAGGCACACCCACATAACAGCAGTACTATGCATAAATGCTCTGCTGTAGCCATCATCCAACTGAGAAGCAAATAAGAATAATAAACAAGAACATAAATACACTTTTCAAAACATTTAAATGCAAAGTGAATGTACTAGAAAACAAAAAAAAACAATTAAGTTATATTTAGGAGTAATGTCACATTTATTTACTTGCACATTTGTGCACAAACACATTTCACTTTTTTTTTAATCAATCCACTCCTCAAGTTTACACAGGTGTCCTAGCAGAGCAACCGCAGGTGTAGTTCATCACATTAACCCCTTAACTGTCACTCACATTTTTGAACATAGACGTGAAAGTGCACGATCCAAACTTAAATTTTTATAATTCATGAATGAAAACATTTTGTAACATGATATTGATGTACCATTTTCATGGTAATGCAATGTTTGATTTTAAAATGGGTTTCAAAGCAAGAATTTTGAGAGTTAAAGTTTTCAATTGATGATGCTTGATTTACATAATTTAAATACAATGGCACTTTGGAGCTTACAGGGTTTCAGAAAGAAAGAAATTCATAAATATCAGCAGACTTACCAAAATATGATACTAATACACCCAGCACTCCCAAAAGAAATAAGTCTAATTGCGATTAACAAACAAACAATTATGCTAACTCAACGTTTCGATGCGGTATCGTACCTGCTAACGAACACGATTCTTTTCACGAAAAAAAGCCGACTTGCTCGTTTATTTCGTGCACGACGATTCGTTCACTTAAAAGATTTGTTCGAAAGAAAAAAAAAAGGATTTTTTTCACGAAATAAACGAGCAAGGCGGCATCTCGTTTCGTTCTTGTGTTCAGAAGTTCACTTTGTGGAGGAATAAGCTCCTTCTAAAGCAGGGGTCCTGGAGGGCCGGTGTCCTGCAGAGTTTAGCTCCAACCCTAATTAAACACACCTGAACCAGCTAATCAAGCTCTTACGAGGCATAGAGACTTCCAGTCAGGTGTGTTGAGGCAAGTTGGAGCTAAACGCTGCAGGACACCGGCCCTCCAGGACCGAGTTTGGACAGCCCTGTTCTAGAGCCTCGAAATTTTAATTTAGCATAACAAGAAGATTTCCTTGGTTTGCCTGTAATGAATTAGTTTGATTAAACGATTCTCTAACCCACACAACTTGTCGCCATCTACTGGTATAATGGTTTGATCTGTTGAAAACGCAACTAAATGGATATTTTTAGTGAATTTATTAAAAAGATTCGATTTTCACTAGAATGAGTCAAAATCACTGGAGCACTGACATCCACTCACATGAGGGCGCTGTGTGTTTTCCCCCACATATCTCTTCACGGTAGTGCTGCGCTTGTTGAGAGCGGATTGTAAACACACGGCTATGGCTGCTGAGAGGGGCGGAGGCGACAACAACCTTAACGACGAAATGGGCAACCAACTACAACTCCTGCCAGGTACGTATGCCTGCTAGTTTCCTAATAAACACGGAGTATATAGTAGTATCAAAAGCATGCCAGCTTAATATCCTCCTCAGAACATGCAGGGAGATCTTTACTAACAGATCCAGATCCGCAGCTGACAAGGGGGCTTCTCTACGAACTTCAAGTGTCTGCGTACACCTGTTATGTAAAACACTTGATTAGTAACGATATTCTGCGACACGTTTCGTTGCTGTAGCCTTAATAACTGCAACATTGTTGAGTGAAGCGTGCACGCATTTTGTTGTTTTATTGTATTGTCAACAGACATTCGTTATTATAATCATTGTGTTATTTATCCAGATGAGATATTTGCTTGCACTTTGCTTATTAATGGCTTTATGCATGCCCGGTTTTCCTCAAATGACTCTGTATGATTAAAATCGAAAGTAAATTGAAATGGGTTGTAAATGTTGATGTAGTTGACAAAATGAATGCTAAAAGGAATACAGTAAATAATAAGTCAAGTGAAGTCACCTTTATTTTTTATAGTGTTTTATACAATATAGATCGATTCAAAGCAGCTTCATATTAAACAGGAATTCAATTCAGTTTAATACCAGTGTTGATGTTGCAAAATTCATGATTTAGTTGAAATTTTGTTGTCATCCAATAGTGTCAGTTCTGTTAAATCAATCATATATTATTGAGTATTAAGTGTCTGTTAGACCCCAATTAATCAAGTCAAAGACAGGATGGAAAGGAACCCAAACTCCATGAGGTGACAGAGATGGAGGGAAAAAACCTTGAAAGAAACCAGACTCAGTTTGGGGGACCAGTTCTCTTCTGTCCTAAATGAATAAACATGATGTGATGTTTATTGGGATAAGTGAAATTATATTTTAGCTCTAATCTTTCTGTTTTTCTACAGAAAATGAAGAGGAAGAAGAGGATGACATGGAGACTGAGGATCGAGATGGTGAGGATGCAGAAAAGCCAAGTATTATAAACTTTGACACGAGTCTACCAACTTCACACGCTGTGAGTGTCATCTGTCAACAGTACATTTAAACTAGTGCTGTCAAAAATACATTTTTGTTTACATAATATATGTGTACTGTGTATATTTATGTATATATAAATAAAATACACGCCCATGCCTGTATATATTTAAGAAAAATGTCTTACATTTATATATTAAATATATTTATATATAATTTATATGAATATAAATATATACACGTAAATATTTTCAAAATATATGCTGTATGTGTGTCTTTATATATACATAATAAACATACACAGTACACGCACATATATTATGTAAACAAAAACGTTTATTTTGGATGCGATTAATCGGGATTAATTCTTTTGACAGCACTAATTTAAACAGCAGTCATGTGACCTGACCTGAGGCTAATATGTTTAAAATCATTTTAAGTATATAGCACCTTATTGATACATTTTGAATTCATTAGCATGCACATAATATGCAAGTAGCTGATGGTCAAAGTATTGCTATATATAATCGCAATCTCTTTTTGCATGTTTGTCTATGTTTGTGTGTATGTTGTGAAGTATCTGGGCTCAGACATGGAGGAGTTTCATGGCCGTACCCTGCATGATGAGGACAGTGTGCAGAATCTGCCAGTTCTTCCCCACGTCACACTCATTCTGATCCCAGGTCAGACGCTACCCTTGCAGCTTTTCCGACCACAGGAGGTCAGCATGTTTCGCAACCTCATAAGCCAAGACCGCACGTTTGCAGTGCTTGCACACAGGTATCAACAGACACAAGGTGCAGAATAATAACTACTCCATATTAATGATCACATACCTTTGATTCTTTTTCGAGAACATTATCCAAGCAGGTTGCAGTGGAGGGTTTGCAGGTGTATTTATATTTCTTACATTTCTACATGCACTTTGCAGTTTGACGTGTTTCTATCTCTCCCAGTCCTGATGCGAGTGGAGTGGAGATAAAAGCAGAGTTTGGGACGACTGCAGAGATCTATGCTTTTCGTGAAGAACAGGAGTACGGCATAGAGACCGTGAAGATCAAAGCTGTTGGACGCCAGCGCTTCAGAGTGCATGAAATACGCACACAAGCAGATGGGTAGGGCAATACACATGCTTTCACTAGGTACTACAATGTGCCGTCCACAAAATGTACTGTAGTAATAAACCACCATGCTATTTTTCATTGAATTCAGGAATGGAATGTGAAAGAGACACTGCCATACGCACACATTTTTTGTTTTTGCAGGATTCGTCAGGCAAAAGTACAGATTTTACCTGAGAGGATTCTGCCAGACCCTTTATGTGCACTGCAATACCTGCCCCGCTTACAAACACAAACACCACAGATCAAACGCTCACAATCAACATCACCGCAGGACCGGTGCAGCCAGATCTGTAGACAGGTAACTGATGTAAATGATTTTCCTACTCATTAACTATTGTTTTTTATTAAAGAACACACAGTTCTTAAACGTTCTGGAATCACAGTTATTTTGTTTTTTTATTGTTTTGCCATCGCAAAATATATTAACTTTTAAAATGTTGAGTCATCCTTGTAAGTCACAAGTAACATATATTTAGCTTAATATGTAATATGCTCTAATTTTCTCACTTTTTTTCACAGAAGAAGATTCATTGTGCTAGTATGACCTCATGGCCTCCTTGGGTGTATGCCTTATATGACTCTGTGAGTTTGATCTCCTTATTATTCATTTTATTATATTATACATTTTACTTTATACATTTTTCAAATGCTAATTTTGCATAGTAAGCCTTAAAGGTATGATTTCTTTTTTTCCCACTTAGAAATGAACAGTACTTTTGACAAATGTTTCTGAAAATGTATAATTGAAAAAAATCATCAGCATTTTTATAATAACAGTGACAACATTTTAGCACTGATGCTTGTGTATGTGTTTCTCTCTAGAAAACTCTCATGAGCAGAGTAAAGAAACAACTCCATGAATGGGATGAAAACCTCAAAGACGAGTCCCTGCCTACGAATCCCACAGGTACACACTGGGTTCAGGCACACAGATGCTCACACACACAGTCAAGTAGTTAGAGTGTCTCTCTTCCTGCAGATTTCTCATACAGGGTGGCCGCGTGCCTACCAATAGATGATGCTCTGCGACTGCAGCTACTGAAGATTGGCAGTGCCATCCAGAGACTGCGTTGTGAGTTGGACATCATGGACAGGGTGTGTATGTTTATGGTTGCCTCTGTCTATAAATGTTTATGTAAGTCTCTCTTTTTGTCCAGGAGTTTGTTTTATGCATTGTAATATTGTGAAAAAAACTAAAAAAATGTTTCCACTTCATGTTTCCTTACAGTGCACCTCTCTCTGCTGTAAACAGTGCCAGGATACAGAGATAACTAGCAAGAATGAGATCTTCAGGTCAGACAATAACTTTTAAAACACTGAGAATTTAGTCACACTTAAAATATTAAAAGGACAGTTCAACCAAAAATGCAAATTCTGTTATAATTTACTCAAACCTGTATAAGTTTTTATCTTCTGCTGAACACAGAATAAGATGTTATGAAGAATGTGGGTAACCAAACAGTTGTTGGTCCTCGTTGACTTCAATAGTATGGGGAAAATACTATGAAAGTCAATGGGGACTCACATTCTTCAATATATCTTCTTTTGCGTTCACCACAAAAACTCTTGAGGGTGAGTAAATAATGAAAGAAATGTTCATTTTTATGTGATCACAAAAAAATTACTTTCTATCATCATTTATTCACCCTCATGTCATACAAATGGATGGTGATTCAAGGCACCAAAGTGTGTCAAGCTCCAATGAAGAAAATAAAGCAACATGAAAGTGGTCATATAATCCATTAAAGTCAACAGGAAATAAAAATTCACCCCATCTTATTTTCTAAATGCATGTTGTTGATTTTATTGTGAACAATTCATTCATGCATATAAACATTTTTAACTAAATTTTATACAGTAACTACAGACTTTCTTATAATCGACTACAAGCTTAATCGACAGCCGATGGATAGAACCCAAGTCCTCACCCTACACTTTTTCTTCCTCGATAATCCATTTTACTCTAATGTACATCACAATGTGGAAACAAATGTCTGTTGGTACTTCCATTTCCAAGTCTTCTAAAACCATATGATAGCTTTATTTGAGAAAAATAACAAAGTTTACATCAAGTCATCATCTCCCTTCATTGTAGCTCTCAGATTTGACAATTATAGTGAACTGGGAGGTTTAAGCGACTTAAGCCAAGAGTAAATGATGAAAGACTTAAACATTTTTTGGGTGATCTTTCCTTTTAAGATTGAAATGAAAGCAAATACTCATTCAGCACTCCTCTGTTTTTAGTCTATCTCTGTATGGGCCAATGGCAGCATATGTGAATCCACATGGTTATGTTCACGAGACGCTTACAGTCTACAAGGCCAACAACCTCAACCTGATTGGACGACCTTCCACACTGCATAGTTGGTTTCCAGGGTGAGAGTCAAAGCTTTTGTACATTAAAAAGTTGGATCATTTGAATTTGGATAGATTTTCATGTATAATTACATTTATTTCTTGGCTTAGGTATGCGTGGACAATTGCTCAGTGCAGAACCTGTGGCTCTCATATGGGCTGGAAGTTCTCAGCAGTAAAAAAAGATCTGAGTCCACCTCGTTTCTGGGGTTTGACTCGTTCTGCCCTCTTACCGACAATCCCACAGGGCGAGGAGGGTGTCGAGGGGTCACGCTTGCTGTGCCTGTAATGTGATCTGAGCATTACTTGTGACCTTTAACCCTAAAGCCCACAAGCATATGCTCCCCCAGGGGTCTCTTCTGTCACCCCAAAACCTCACCCAGAGAGAGAGAGAGAAAGTGTGTTTGTGAGTTTATATGTGTAGATGTGTGCATGAACAGGGAGAGGAAAGAAAAGGGGACAGGGTAGCATAAGATACAGGAGTAGAAAGAACAACAGAATGCAAGTTGTTGCCTTCACACACCTCGTGCTGTGTAAATAACAGCCTGATACGTGCAATATCATACCAGATGGGCTCTTTAAGATATTACAGTCTGTTGTAATGCACTTAATTTACCATCCATCATTTCTTCATTATTACTGCCTAGATAACAGTTAAGCAAGGTGTTATCTTGTTTGGATGTTTATGAGTATTGTGTTCAAATAGGGTCAAATCTCTAACACCAAAGTGTGATGATCTCATTTAGTCTGACAGAAAGTTTTTTCATGCCTACTTTTAGCAACATAATCAACGATCATGTAGAATACCTCAACCAGTTAAATGCTCTTGGACATCTTCTTCAAAACAAGATCTAAACTCCTTGAATTAAATCATTTCCCATATGCTATGTCCCATGTGCTTGTGTCGGGTACATTTGGCACACAACTCCTGGCTAAAATGGTCAGTTGGTGAATAATAAAGGAAATATCAGGGAGTTACCTTTTATGTTATTTAGACTCAATATCCAGAGCAATTCTCGAAGGGTGTTTTGTATTTCTCAAGTTTCTGTTTTGCTTCATCCTTTATATTTGTTTTATTTGGATACCATTTAATTGAATGATGATATGATGTATATGTCGAGTTGAGAGCCAAAAATCTGTATCCAGAACGGAATTGGTATGCCGAGAAACTACAGTCTGCATTGAGAAACTTCCTAAAATATAAAGATTCTGTTCACATGTTCATTAAATGGAGTGCAAAAAACGGTTTACACAGAAAATCAGCACACAAAAATGCTCATTCTTAGTTATACACATAGCTGTAATAAGAAAACAAACATGATACACACTGACTTGCATATCTGTAATGTTCAAGAGATTAAATACTGTTCAGTACTGATACATTCTCGCCAATAAACCGCTTCTGAAATGTTGCATCGTGTTTAATCTTTTCTTTAGGGAAATTTCAATTTGGACAGTTCCATATGTTAACATTAGCTACATTAGTGAGTATGAACCAACAATAAAAAATATTTCTAAAGCATTTATTAATCTTGGTTAATGTTTATTTCTGCTTTTTCTAATATATTATTAAAATAAAATGATCTGTTATTATTTAATGGACATGAGATTAATCCTGTTACAAACATATTGCTCATTTTTAGTTAATGATAACAAGTGGGACTATTGTAATGTGTTACCAAAATTTTTGTTTAAAACACTTAACTAAAAATGATACTGCATGTATATACTGTACAAATATTAATAGTCTTCTAATCCAAACATAGCCATAGTTTGATCACACATTTGTAGACAAACTTGGATATGTGTACAAAATGGATTAGAAATCGAAAATAATTGTGACCCTGGCTGTGAAACATGTCCTTTACATTAAATCATCCTTCATAAGCTAAAGAACATTCTGTGAAAATGTAACCTTGAGATCTTTAATACTAAGACCATGTCAAAGATTGAAATCATAGTGAAATTAAAGGTTGAAATCAAACGTTGATGCTTGTTATCTCATAATTAGATTTTGAGACTTTAGCCTGGATTTCACAGAGAGGGTCATAAATTAATTTGCTGGTATTAATTTTAAGCTTTTTGCTAAAGTAAGGTCATGTGACAACAGTGAAGCATAATGTTTGAAACGTCTGTTGTTTCATAATTCATATGCCATTTAAGAGAGAGAGAAGTACTGTAGTTTATACTGTAATGTTTTACTATAGTGTCTCGTGTTTTCATTTCCGAACAAACCGCCAGAGGGAGGTGTTGCTACACAGTCGCGCTGTCTTCTTCACTGGCTCTCACGATTACGCAATCACAACAAACGACGACGACAAGCTGTACAGATGAATGTTGTTGGCAGTCACGTACGCGTTCCGTTCCCCAATGCTTTGGGCCGTGGCGCATGAGTTTAATATTTTCAGAAGATAACTTTAACGTATCTAACGTTAGTTTGTGTGTGTATTTATTTGCTTGCTGTTCGTATTATTCGCATTAGTCTTGTTCTGTCTTTGGCGATGCCTCAGGAGTCTGCGGAGGGGCAGCAGGCGCTGCCGCTGGTCCGATCTCTGGTCAGCCGGACACCGGCCTGTGTGGTGTTCTGTAACTGCAGTCCGCGAGTCGTGAAGCCCATCTGGATCAACTTCCGCGGGGAGCCGCAGCCATACGCTGATATTCAGCCGTACACCGGGCGAAGAATGACAACTTATGTGGGTTCGTACAGTTATTGTTGCAATTTGGAAAATAACACGTTTAGCTACACCTTTTATGCCAGTTAATGAACAAAACGGCTCAACACAAGTGTTTTACATCAGGCAAGACCAAACTGTTCAGAAAAGCTAAGTGTTGGGTTTATATCATGAACTAACAAAGTGTACTTTGACACATCTGAGTTTTCCCCCCATAAGTGATTATTAATCTCTAAATTGAAACTACGTAAAACATTAAACTGACCCAAGTGTAAGTGATTCGAACACATTTCCATTTTAGTTTCATGGTTTATTTTTTAACCTATTCATGCCAAAACAGGAATATCTGAAAGATATTGTCTATGTGCTAGATTACGGGCTAAAGGGATAGTTCACCCTAAAATTCTGTCATTAATTACTCACCCTCGTGTCGTTCCAAACGCGTAAGATCTCCGTTCATCTTGGAACACAAATTAAGATATCTTTGATGAAATCCGAGACTCTCCATAGACCGCAAGGGACCAACCACGGTCAAGGCACAGAAACGTTGTAATGACATGGTTAAAATGGTCCATGTGACATCAGTGGTTCAACCGTAAAAATTAAGCTAGAGAATACTTTTTGTGCGCAAAGAAAACAAAAATAACAACTTTATTCAAAAATTCCAAAGTCCCTTTAAAGGAACACTCCACTATTTTTGAAAATAGGCTCATTTTCCAACTCCCCTAGAGTTAAACAGTTGAGTTTTACCGTTTTCGAATCCATTCAGCCGATCTCCGGGTCTGGCGGTAGCACTTTTAGCTGTAGCATAGCATAGATCATTGAATCTGATTAGACCGTTAGCATCTGCTCAAAAATGACCAAAGAGTTTCGATATTTTTCCTATTTAAAACTCGACCCTTCTGTAGTTACATCGTGTACTAAGACCGACGGAAAATGAAAAGTTGCGATTTTCTAGGCCCATATGGCTAGGAACTATACTTTCATTCCGGCGTAATAATCAAGGAACTTTGCTGCGGTACCATGGGTGCAGCAGGTGCAATGATATTACGCAGTGCCTGAAAATAGTCCCCAGCTAGGTAACTTCCAACGGAAGGCACTCCCTGTGCAAGCAGGTGGTCACGTTGGTTATGTTGGCAGAAGTTAGCCTATTAATCACCTCATTATTGAAGTAGGGCCTACAAATCTAAGCACCAGAAGCTGCCCACACTCTCTAAGTTTTCTTTAATTGAAAAATATGCATTTTCATTCATTCAAAGGCTATATGGTTGTAATGATATTTTAGTTCAAAACTTTAAGTGCCATTGTTAAAAATGCTTTATTGACTGACGTTTCATCAGTTGTTAGCTTTCAAATTTCAAATGCCATTTGTCATTTCACAGTATTTTCACCTCCTAAATTATATACACTTGTGATATGTGAAGTCACAATTCTATATTGGTACAATTTACTCAGGCCGATGACATTTTTTGTATGACATTAAAATTCTTTTTAGAATAATTGTACACAAATTAAGCAAAACAATTGTGATTATTTCTGAGAACTTTTTACATGCATGCAGACAGCCTACATTATGGTACAGTACAAATATTTGGAACATCCCTTATTCTGTCCCTTATTTTCTTAAAGAATAAACACTTATTTTCTACAAAAATACAAGAACAAACACTATTTTATTAAAGTATAAAAGATAAAGAATCACAATTGTCCCTTTTTTTCCATTTCTGAAGTTAATTGGCAACCCTAATGATAATGTAATTATCTTACTCCCCTGACAGTGGCACCTTGTTCAAAAAACAAAACAAAACGTCAGTTTTCAAAAAAATTATAGATCAAAGAAAATGCATAATAGAAAGCACAAAAGGCAGCACTGAAAAGGCCAGCACAAAAAAAAAAGTGGTCCGGTCTAAGGCATGCAACTCCAGGGCTGAAAATGAGTCCCACTCCGGCCCTGGCTAAGCTGCAGCGGAGATCGGCTGAATGGATTCAAAAACGGTTAAACTCAACTGTTTAACTCTAGGGGAGTTGGAAAATTAGCCTATTTTCAAAAATAGTGGAGTGTTCCTTTAAGGCAAGTAATTCCACTTGGTCGGCGGCCATCTTTGAAATGCCTCTCGGGCGTGCAAGTGCAGCTCCTATCACTTTGAATGGGGAAACATCAAATTCTCCAAAACTGTTCGCCAATTTTAGGATTAAATTTCATATTTGAAATCACCAATGAAATCTGACAAGAACTGTATCATAAATGTTGTTTATTTAGCTCAAATAGCATAAAAAAAGCTTATTTTTACTCATAAGTGCACGTCTCAGACTGTTTCTATAGCAACCGGGACTTCTAATGGCAGCTGCAGTGATGTGTTGACTTTACTGATTAGCAGTGGACCCTTTTCACAAGACTGTGATGACGCATTTAACGGTCATCAGCATTGTAAATCCTCGAATGTTTTTCATATTTGTATTTTAAAAAAATGTATGCACATTTATAACACTATTCTTTGTATTATATCACCTTTGCATCAAATTACAAAAAAATGTAATGCTAATGCGAGGGTGTTTCTAATGCAGCGTCTATGGGAGGGACGGTAAATTTGACATTGTTCTCTCTTCTGACTGCCGTTATCAGTCTCTCTCAATTTTTTTGAGAAAGTCATGAAAACACTATCATGGAGTTTTTCTTTTGCTATTTGAGCAAATGGGAATGCAAAAAATATATTTGCGGTATTGTCCAATTCACTGCTCTTTAAGTTAACCCAACTATGACGACTTCCGCTGCTGAGAAACCCGGAAATGTGAAAAAGGTCCATTGGCTCTTTTGCTCAGAAGGCAGGTGCTGCGTCCCAATTCGCCTACTTATACTTTGCCCTAAAAGTATGTACTATTTTTGTGAAGAAGCTTTGGGACATACTATTTCGTCATAACTGTGTCTTTAACGGACGCTCTGTTGCTTAGTTACATACATCCTGTCACCATTGAAACTGCACTGTCAATCATCTTGTCAAAGTTAACATTATCCATATTTCGTTTAATTTAATTTCCTACCATATTGGAGAGAAATGAAGAGGCACGTTGATCTGCCAGTCGCGGGTCTATCATGCTGAGAACTCTGCTCATATGTTTGCATAATGGTGCATTTAAAAGTTAATGACTAAACGTATCATTATAATGTTCACAGTGTTGCTGCAGTTGAAATATAACGCGAATAACATTAAAGGCACAATATGTAATTTTCGCCGCTAGAGGGCGCGTATTCAAAATAAACAAAGAGACAAAGGGGTAGTTTGATGACACCGTGACTGAGTGTGGAATCATGAGAGTTGTCATCTTCATCCCCACAGCCGATGCAATCCGACGGGACTCGGGCAGAAATCATGTTCCTGGATGAGCTAAAGATTTATTAATGTAGTAGAATGAAGCAGGGTGAGGCTGAAAGCCGTCGACGCGAAATGAGGCCGCTGAACGTGCGTGACACACGGCTCGAAAGCAGCGGAGCTTTTATTATGCCACAGTCGACCGCTTCCGCTCCTTCCGGTCGTGAGTATGTGGAGTAAAGCAGCACTGTTTTATCATATTAGATACATTTGAAAGTTCTGTTTTAATGCTACTCTGTGTGGTCGTCATCGGTCTAATAAAATGCACAACATATTAAAGAGTCTTTGGTGCTTCCATGTTTTCTACAAAACAAAACCGGAAATCGAGGGGTTATGACGTCATTTGCAGGCGACACAATTACACTA